TGTTGGGACTGCGCGTGCCCTCACCCCAACCCCGCATTAGTATGATATTGTCCGCTCTGGGCCAAGCCCTCACGGATTTGTTTTTGGGCACTTCCCAAAAGGCCTCATACTAATGGGGTTGGGTGAACCTATATATTTTGGTCCATTTTTTCTTCTCCCTCCGGTGTGGGACTTGGAGGAATCCCAACAGATATTTCATAGTCAATACTCCTATTTGGAGAATAAAATACACTCCCTCTATTTTATAATTTTATTAATACTTTGTTTTTACATAACTTTTAATAAAGTAAAACTAGTAATTGACTGGTGCGATGCATGGAAAGATATCTTCTACCAATAATTAAATAATATAAATGTTAGGAAAATAACTAAATTTTCAATGTAATTTTTGAAACGTGTAATTATTTAATAAACTTAAGTACCATCATGGAAGCACTTATATATTTGTGATTGTCAAGTTGCCAAATAACATAATCCATTGGAAATGTGTTATGTTAATGTCAATGCCATTTAAATCAACCAGCATGCACATTTAGTGCTTTTTATTGTATAAAGATTATAGAATCGTTCTTTTTAGAGACGAAATAATACATTTCAATAAATCATTTACGGAATTGCTAAATTTTCTTATACTATCCATTGCTTATCTTCTCGATCTTATAAACTTAAAGATTTGAGTAAATTCTATAATTGATCCTTTATAACAGGGTGTTTCCCTATTTAGTCGTCTATTATCAAATATTACCATATTGGTCCTTTTATAGGTATCTTTCCACAAATAGTCCTAGTTAATTTGAGGGATAAAAGTGTAATTTCACAATGATAATATATCTTTTTTGTCATACACAAATCCAAAAGTTGTTCCGTTTGCGTCGTTTGTGAATTACATTCGCTTTCTACTATAACCATACTCTAAAAATGTCGTCTTTCATCGGAATCATAGCCCACAATCATAGTCATTATTTTTGTGTTATCCGCTTAACCAATATAAGAACACGTCACCAGTGGCGGAGCCAGGATCCAACAATAGTGGGTGCGAAATAGAGAAAGATATCTATGTCTAGCGATTACCAGAGACAGGAGACATTTAAATAAATATAAATCTCACAAGCATTCTGTCGAACATATGGTGTACAATAACATACTCCCTCCGTCCCTAAATAGATTACAATGTTTTTTTCTCTCTTCTCGATAACTTTTGTTTGTTTATGCGATTTCATTAAATATTTTTTTAAAATAAAATAATCTTGTCACCTCTTGTTTTGTAAAACTTTTGACGTAGTTTTTTAATATGTAATTTTTATATCTTATTAATATATCAATTTGTAAATAAAATGATTTCAAAAAGTAAAAAATTTTACTTCGTAACCCGCAATTTGTAATCAAATTGGGGACGGATGGAGTACATTAATAGAAATAAATACTCCGTAAATAAAAGGCATACTTCACAAATGTCAGCAAGAATTTGTCAGAGAGGGTCGAGGGAAGCCCATCACAATAAAATGGAGCAGTGTTACAGGATTGTAGAGTTCTTCTTCATCTTCTTTTCTTGCTCTTCTTATTTGAAATGGAATATTTTATAGTATTAAAAAACCAAGCTGGGAGTGACTGCAATTGCAGTCATTTGCTCCCACTTGGCTCCGCCCCTGCACGTCACTAGACATAATATTGATGTCAAATTATACTTTTAGCCTTTAAATTAACACCCACAGGGCGGAAGATCAAAAAAAGGATCATTTGTGGAAAGACATCCTTAAAAAAAGGACTACGAGGGTAATATTTGATAATAGAGTACTAAATATGGAAACTCACATATTATAAAAGACCAATTATGGAATTTACTCTAAAGATTTCTTACTTATTAGGATTTGTTCTTTTCAATTAATTAGATTGTTTTTGATCTGATTTGATTAAATTTTGGTACGATCTAATTTAATCTAATTCGAATAAAAATAAGTAAGAATTTTAAAAAAATATGGTGAGAAGAACAAGCTCTTACTACTCTATTGAAATCACCAAGTTGGTCAAGGATATTCTCATTCTTTATATGGTGGTAGCAATGGTCATGTTTTTCTTAATTGTCATCATCTGGCATACACATGCATAAGTACCTTACATATAAGTAGGTTTTGTTTATTTTGGTAATTTAAATAAATGGGATTTCTCCCTTTCATGTAGTTTTTCAATCTATATTTGTTAAAGAAATATTTATACTCAAAATTTATGATTTGTGTGGAAGAAAGGTAATTAATATTGACCACCTAATTTCTTCTTAGAGGCTAACAAAAATTTTGGGACAACCCAAATTAAAAAAGGAAGTTTGTTTGCATATCATTGTCTTATTAATTATTAAGAATCAATAGGTTCAAACCATATCTTTTTTCATCACATACTTTAGTATAAACATTACTCTAAATGAACTTTTTATTACACTCAATCATTCAACATTGCACTTGTGAGCATGCTAGATGTACACTATTTGGTGTACACTACTTTGTATTTCAAATTTTTGCAATAACACTTTGATGACTCAAATCGTCGCAAAATATCAGTGTGAAACTTTTTAATGACATTGATAGTCAGTGTGAGTATTGTGGTGCAAAGTGGTTTACACCTAGCAATATTCATAATTCATTCATTAGACAAATCAAGCACAACAGATAATGTATTTCTTTTTTTTTGCAATTCCAATGCAAAATAAATGAATGATGATTATCTAGTGCAATGTGTCACTCTTTAGAAATAAATGTTGGTTTAATAGAACTATTGATATGCGTGAGAACAAAGTGCTTCGGAAAAAAAGAAATGTGAGACCTTTTTATGTACAAAGTGGGCATACATAAGTACCAAGTATCAAAATACTCATAAGTAGTACGAAGTAATTATAAATGAATACTTCTCTCATCTAAAAAAAACTTTTTATTTTTCGTTTTTAAGGACATTACAAAAACAAGCTCCATGTTATTTTTGAATAGTGTTTTTGTGACTTACCATCTTTCTTTCTTACTAGTGTATTTATCCATTTTGACTTTTTTGAGTCAAGCTGGACAAACTTGAGCTCCAATTATTTTCAATTTATATTACATATTAGTACAATGAAATAAAATTTTAAAAGTTCTCAACTAGATTATTCTAATAAAAATATTTTTGTATTAATATACATTATAATAATTTTTATTTATTTGCAACTCAAAAATCGTCTTGTTTGATTTGAAAAGATCAAACTAGACAATACATTGAGAGGAAGAAGTATTTACATCACTTTCAACCATCCAATTTCACTTTTTCAAAGTTTGTATCAAACTCAAACAAGAACCTTTTTTTAAAAAAAAACAATAGGAGGAATATAAAATAATTATAAATAAATAAAAGTAAACAGAAAATAAATATATAATGCCCAAAAAACTTCTTAGCCACATTTTATAATTAGAGAAAATAGTACTCCGTAATATTCTTTTCAAAGAAAATAAAGTGAAAATTATATTTTGAAATGTTCAAAGAAAAAGTGAGTAAATTTTTTTAGAACGTAGACAGAACACACTTGTTTTTTTTTAAAAAAAGAAGCCTCCTGAAGGGATGCATATCCTATTTGCGGACATAGGTCCGTCTAACGAGTGTCAGACGAGTCAGGTGCCCTACAGGTTTAGGACATCCAAAAAAATCCCAACAGAATGTCCCATCGCCTAGCCTTTCTTCATGGCTAAACTAGAGAATACCCCCACACAAGCCACAAACACACCATGAAAAAACTAACTATAAAGAGAGAGAGAGAGAGAGAGAGAGAGCCTTAAAGGGTGGGGTAAATGTACCAAAAGCTGGATAAATGTAAAATTCGTAATGCCAGTGACAGTTAAAAAAAAAGAGAGTAAAAAAATTCAACACAAAAACCAGAAGCAGCGTACATCCCAACAAGTCAAACCAGCTTCAAACTCGTTTTCAAATCTTTATCTTCTGTGTTTCATTTATTACCTTTTTTTTGGGTTTTACCGGGCAGTAAACTGTTCTCTCTTCCCCTTCTTTTTTCCCCTTTTTCTGACATGTTTCCTTCAATCTTATGGCAGTTCTTTGGTCGACGTACTCCCATGGACAAAAAAGCGCCGCCCTTAGTTCCTGGAGGAGCTGCCGGCGGCTATTCCCTGAGCAGGGATTGATGATCTGCTGAGATATGGTTCACCATTACTGTGATGGTCATCCAGTTTGACACTCTGTAGATGCTGCCTGAGCACATCTGAACCAGAACTTTGGACAGCTGCTCGAGGACTTGAAATGGCAGCGTAGTGTACAGACGGTGGCAAGATCCATCTCCTCCAGTCATTCCGCGCCCTCAGTTTTTCCCCCTGTGTAACAAAAAAATGCGCACGTGTTTAATACATGCACAAACAAAAACACAAAATACACAGACATGGAGTATATATAATAACCGCCAGACTTACTAGTCTACTTTTCAGAAAATCTCATTGAGAAATGGGTTTTTAAATGTCAAATAAGCAAAATTTCAAATGATTGCCACTCATTCATAATGTCAACAATGCTCACACCCTATCTCTTGGATCTTGAAATAAAGAATAATAAGGACTTGGTTTTGTTTTTATGGAAAACTATTATAGAGCAACCAATATGTATCAAATAATGCACGCCTTCACAGGTTATATCCAAAACATAAGATACATTATTACATTTGCATATTAAGACATTATCGAGGTTACCCAATGCTCCCTCTCGTCATTATTAGGTACAACCTTTTCTATGTAGTTACCTAATAGATATTATGTTCATTTTTGTAAAAGCATTCACTTGCCAGGCATAACAAAAGAGTGTAGACTCGAATATCATATTTTTTTTAGAAAGCAAGAATATTAGTCTCCAATGCAACACCTTGACCATTATTATGTACAAATATACTGAATAAATGCTCCATGTCTTTAAAAAAAATTAAATCTTGACAAGAAACAAAAATTAGGAGACATCATTTATACATTTGGAATTTGTGTATATATACTATTGGAAAGCTTCACCAAACATTTTCATCCGCTATTTTTTATTGGAACATGCAATACACAGTTTAAAAGATGCAATAAATAAGGATATGAAGTAATCCCGAAGTGGATTAGACAAGAATTTTGGGACATAAAAAAGTTAAAAATTCAACATTTTTAGGGTTGAAGGCAGTGTTATAAATGCATAATACTCTAAGACTATATAAAAATGAATGTATTGATAAAGTTCGTATTTATCTACACGTGTAATTTGAAAACTCAGTGTATTTTGAATGCAAATCATGGTCAAACTTTATAAACTTTGACCACAAAAGTCAAAAGGTAAATTTAATTTCGAGACAGAGGGAGTAAATATTTTGTTGGTTTGTGTAATTTGGTCAACTGTGCCATACAATTAGGATCAGAGGGAGTAGTTACTAGATGCTACTACCATAATTTTTAGCGGATAAACCCAATTTTGGTTTAATAGTACATCCCTACAGAGGATGACCATATTTATTCATTTAAACTGAGCGATTTAAAGTGGAACCAAATATTCAGAAATTAAAACCTTGGAGTAGGAAAGCAAATACCTGTACTTCTACAACACTCGAGGATCTTAGAGCATGCAATATAAGTTGTATATCATCAGTCAGCTCTGTAACCTGTATCAATGACAGAAGAAAGCTGGTGTTACAGGATATAATAATATGGACATTCATGTCAATATATTTGGTATAAGCTGATCATTGTGCATAGAAAGCAAAAATTAGGATAAAAATATAGGTGCAAAATCCAGTGACACCAACTACGCATGCAATGAGAGATTCAACAAACTGAGTTTAATTCTGATTGTATTCTTAAGCATATGGCCCATTATTGCATTCAGGAATTGAAGAGAACCATAACCATACAGATCAAAGTACTGATGACATCCACTTGTGATATTATTTGAGGAGTTATATTAGAAAATAATGTAATACATGATGTGGAACACAACCAAACAGAGGATGAAAATTGCAAAGAATGATCTTTTATATTAAAATTATTGTTAAGCAGAACCATTTTGAAAATATGAGTAGATGGTGGGATTGTTAAAATCATTTTTTGGACAAAATATGCAAATTTACATCATCATGCACGGATCCCAACTAAGTATTCATGCAAAGAAGCATAGTAGCAATGTTTTATACAGGATGTTCTTCCTATTGTAACCTTGATAAGAAGAAATAATGAGATGAAAAATCTAAAACCGTCATCATCATAGGTTATTTTCCACATGCATGGAAAATATCATGGGATGAAGATGACATATTTGCTAGTCATGTTTCATTACATGATCGATATTGTACATAGGACCTGCATATCAAAGAACATGATCGAAATGGAACCATGAATACAATAACACGGGCCAAAAAAGTACAAACAATGAAATATGGTCACACTACACTGGTTTCCACTTTTCACATAACAAGCATCTTCCTTATTTTGGAGAATTTTCCCCACGAAAATCACCTGATGAATGGAATATCACCATCTTCACCAAATATACAAACTACATAAGCTGTGCACGGATCAACTTTTGGTTTAACAATTAGATTGAAATGTGACTAAGACACTAAGAAAATGGACATAACGCTTAAGCGTTGGTCCACTTAAATGAGGCTTACCTCTTAATGTGTTTGAGGTGCAAATGCCCTAGCCGCGAGGCTTAAAGTTGCTGATTCTTTTTGAGCCTTAATCCTTGATTTTATAGAGAGAAAATTGAAGTGTTGCCTCTTTAGAATGGGTTAGCTTCAAAAACATGTTGGCCTATTTTTTAGCAATTGGCCCTTATCCGTATGTCTCTGTGATTTTGTTGTTTTCATCTCTTTTTATTGTTTATCTTTTGTACTGCAACCCATCTCTCTCTCTCTCTCTCTCTCTCTCACACACACACACACACACATCTCCGCTCCTCTCTTTCTCTTTTAAAGCAGCGTGTTAAGTGGCAAAGATAAATAAAAAGAGGCTCATGATACAAAAGAAGATATAAATGAGGACGGACTTGTAAAATTGAATAATAATGCAATTAAGGATGCTATTAGTTTTGAATAGTGTTAGTTATAATTTATAAACTTAGAACCGCAAGTCTTAAACATGTTCTAACTTGTTATTATAGTTTGGCATGTATTTTTTATCCTTTTATGTCCTATTGACTTTTCTATTTTTTTAAACAATATTGTGTTTTCTATTTCAATGTGTCAAGTTTGTATGCCAAAAAACTATCATTAAGAGTTGTCTATCTTGCCCTATTTTAATAATTACTATTTACATTATTATCTCACTTTGCCTCAAAGACTGCCTTGTGAGAGGCCAACCATCTCGAGGTTCAATTTTGCCTTTTAAAACAAAATTTGCTTCTCCAACAGAACAATGATTTGTGCATGTAAAAAGATACAACAAACTTGTTGCACAGAAAACATTTCATTCTAGCCTACTAACCTTTTTGAAGCCTGCTATTAATTTAACTGGAACCCATCCTTGCTCATCCATTTCCTTCCGCAAGTACATATCTTTAATTAAATTTTCACTACTGCAAGGTAAGAAGCAAATAAGATGTTAGCACTTGCATCATGGAAACACCTACATAGAAACAGAACAAAGCAGTCACAATCATAAAAGAAACAGTAACGAGTAAATACTAAGGAACACACCTGAAATAATAATCTATCTGGTTAACTATTTTAGAAAGCAACATGGGATCTGGGACATGGTAAAACATTGGCACACCAGGTGGGGGAGAAGGCAGCATGGGCATTGCTGGTGAATCTGGGTGAGGCCCCGGTACATAATACATTGGAGGAGGAACTTCTGTAGAATTTTTATGAGTCAGTAAATGGCACACAAAACCTATTAAAGAACTGTAAATGCACCACAATTCACCAGGATAAACCATAGGAGAGCCCAAGGGACGCATAGGAATAAGTGGAGGAATAAAAGGAGGGGACGGAGGTGGGGCCCGTAGGAAGGGCCTAGCAGGCACCCTCAGCGGGTGCAACTGAGCATCTCTGCTGGCAAAACTTCTATTATGATTCCAATCCTGGTTTCCACGTTCTTGATGATAAGATCCATCCCCTCGAGGGCGTGGCCTACTGTTAACACCCTTTCTAGGTGATGTTCGCATGTAGTGCTGCTCATTCCCACCAAGTGATTGAGGCCCAAACCCTCCCATCTGCCCACCTTCCTTGTGCACATTATCTCTCGAATACGATTCCACACTAGATTTTCCAACACTATGAGGTGCACTCTCCACCACTGAACTATGTAACGGGTGGGGCTGAGTTATACTGCCGTTAGCCAAAGCACTATTGCTTGAGTTCCCACCAGTACGCTTATTAGATCTGTGGCGAGTGTGAACATGGTTTGCAGTTGAATTTGAAGTTGTGTTATGAGTATGAACATGCTTAGGAGAAGATGATGAAGCAATAGGAGTGCCCTGAAAACAAGTACACATATAATGCAAAAGTGAAAACCTTCTCCACAGAAAACACCCACGCACGCACACAAAGCATCATTTTTTTAATAAATCAAAAGTTAAAAAGCTATGTATGACAACAAACACCACTGAAGCTACAATGATAGATGGAAAATCTAAGCAACAGATAACAGAGAAGAAAATAAATCTGAAAGGGTATGACATTGTTTCAGTTGCATGCAATGGGAAATAAGTGAAATAACCTTAGACAAAGAGGCTGGAGCATCCGAGGGAGATTTGAAGGAGTCATAAGAAGTAGATTTCAGTGAAGCCTTAGTGGACTCCGAGAGAGCAGGCCAAGACAAGGCCCCCATCACAGGACCAGCCTCCAAGGCGCCGTTTGGCTTGTTCCAAACAACCTTTTTTACTGCATTGCTGCCACCATCACTGCTCTCAGAACCATCTCGCTGAGATTCACAAGCAGCATCCTGCAAGAAAGGCAGAGACGAATTCCCAGTAGCCCCAAGAGCTGCTTTGGACGGGGAACAATCTTGGGGAACAATTCCTGTTGGCTCTTGAGAAACACTCGTAGAAGGAGAAACCAGGCATGGCGGATGAATCATATCAGAGGCTATCTGGGCGGTAGATGAGTTCATTATAAGAGTAGTAGGGTTAGATGATTAGGGTTTGCTTTCTCCTAAAGCTGCTGGAAAACTACAAATTAGGGTATCCAAAAATCAGGACACGCCTTCAAGCACTGAAGCCTGAAGAATTCGATCACCTTATAACCTAAATCAAAGAATAAAACAACAAATTCCAGGGGAGAAAAAGGAGAATCAAACCAATCAAGAAGGAAAACTATTGCTTTCCAGGGGTAAAAATATTCGCCGGAGTGATCTGATCGGGTTCCGTTCGGGAGCAAAAACAACTTGGATTCGAGCTTTTCAACACCGGCCGCAACGACAACAACTCCGTCGAGCCCACAGGCCACAGCACACCGACGAGAGAAAATCTTCCCTCCCGTATTTTGCTTTTCCGTCACTCCCCTATTATATCGCTATGAGCTCTCATTCCTAATAGGATTTGGGTTTATTTGTTTTTTTCTTTCCTAATAGGATTTGTGTTTATTTGTTTATTATTATTTGATTTTTTTTGGTTAATATTTTTAAATTTTGGTTGATTTTTTTTGTTGATTTTTTTAAAACCATGTTATAAGAACGTACATTTAATGCTAATATATTTTGTTTTAAAATTTAGTGCTAAAATATCACACTTTATTACATACTACCTCCGTCCCAAAAATAATTTCCTACTTTGGTTAACGTGCAAAATCCCGTGGATTTTAAAATGATTTTATTTGAAAATTGGCAAGAAAATAACACATAAAAAATTATATTTAAAAACTACATAAAAAACTTTACAAAATAAGAGGTGACAAAAATATTTTATTTTATCAAATGATCAATGAAAACACGCAAACAAATAAGAGTTATCGAGAGGCCGTAATAGTAAACAAGAAAGACTTTTTTGGAGTATATTTTTAAATATAAATATAGATACTAACGTTTAAAATGTCACCCTAGACCCTGTTGGTGATTTTAGTGTCATCAATTTATTTTGTGTAATTGGATTTACTTTGATCGGACAAAAATTTAAATAGACGTTGTCAAACGAGTTAGGAGGCGCAGAGTGCGCGCTCGTTCAACGATATTATAAATTCATTGTAGGGGTCCGGGGGTGGCAGCCCCTGGCGGGGTCCAAGGGGCAGAGCCCCTGGCCGGGGTCGAGCTGACTTGGCTTGGAAATTTTTTATTTCGGACGTTGTTTCTTTAAGAAAATCCTTAAGATTTTCGTGACCGGAGTCCAAAACGGTAAAGGACTCGTACATAATGGATAAACGTCGAAATTAAGCCTTCAACTGCATGAGACCTTTCGTTTCAAACTCGCACCTTTTTCTTCTTGCGCGAACGTACGCGTACATCTACACGAACGTTCATGTCCGATCACAAGAATTTTCGACTCTATAAAATAGAGTCTCGTGGTATGGGTTGACACATAGATTCTTGAGTGCTTGTTCTAAATTAACGTCTTATCCGATTGAAGTATTTTGTATACCCCAAAATAACTTTGATCTGAAAGCGTTTCGTACGCGATTCGTTATTCTATCGAGTTTATCGTTCAACACTGCTTCGCAGTGTTCTTCCTTCAATAAATCCAACAAAGATCAAAGTTATTCCTAAAGAACTCAAAAATGACGTGTGGCGATTCCGTAAGAGATTTGAGTAGCAAGTTCTCGAAGTTAGAAAAGTTCGAAGGCCAGGACTTCCGTCGATGACAGAAGAAGATGCACTTCCTTCTCACAACATTGAAGGTCGTGTATGTACTGAGCACGCCTATGCCGCAAATCATGGATGACGATACACTGGAACAGACGAGGAAGCGGTGCAAGTGGGAGAACGATGACTACATTTGTCGAGGACATTATGTTCCTTCAATAAATCCAACAGACCTCTTAAAAATACGGAGTAAATGAAAAGAAATATCAAGATGGATAAAATAATTTCTATTTGAGTTCTAAAAAATAAAATATCTTTTGCACAATGTTAAAGTTTAATGAATGCAGCCATTGGTTCAGCGACATTGAAAAATTGCACTGTGTCATGCGTAAAAAATTCGAAACTTCGATGAAGTTTTTATCATATACTGTACATATTTTAACGGCGCATGATGTAAGGATAATGTTCGGTTAGTATTCTACACTCTATTCAGTATGTATTGCATATACTCCATAAAATTTATTTTTAAATTTGGAAAAAAAATCTTTATGGAGTATATGTACGTATTACATAAACTTCATAAACTTATGGAATATATATGTACTACATGTACTTCATAATTTTTTTTATTTGGAAAATTGCAATGTATAGTGCACAAAAAATCTCTCTTATTTTTTTAGTTTGCAAGAAAAATAGCTTTATCACAACAAATATAATGTCTTAATTCCAAATATTGAAATACTAATGTTGCAAGGATAACACTTAACAATATATAAACTCCGTAATATAAATGCACAAAACATCTTTTTAAAATTTTAGTGGTAAACAATTAGGAAGCTACTCACAAAATTTGAGAGTAGGATTCTGTTATTTCTATACAATTAGGAAGCTAACTTGCAAGATTACCCTCCTCAACTCAATAATATACTCTTTTTAATTTGTTCCAAATTTGCTAATTATTTGATTTTTATTAAGAGAGTATATTGTATGTAAAATTACTAGCATTTTATTAGAAATGCATAAAAAATCTTTGTAAGTGGATAAAATTGGGAAGAAACAAATTTATAGAGAAAGTATATTTAAAAGGCTGAGAAAAAAATATAAAAGTAACAAAATTAAAATGAACAAAGGGTGATGACAATAAAAAAAAGTAAAACTGAATCTGATCGATGAACAACTATGAGTGATATTTTTGGACATTAATAAAGAGTTGGATAATAGTACCAAAACAACAAAAAGAGTTGTACTCGTATTTATTTTTGCCAAGAAATAAAGAGTTTAATGACATTTTTAAAAATATTCTCCATTTGTTCGTAGTTTGATTTTCTTTTTACCTTCATTAAATGAGTATATTACGATTACCGAGTAACATTTACAAGGAAATCTATAAAATTTCACATTTTATTCTTCATAATTGGTTGTGTCACGCAGACTCCAACTTTGTCATTATTTGTCTCATATTTTTTTAATATTATTGATTCGATTATAATGTAATATTTCTTTATACTTTTTTAATCTAATAACACACAGTAAGTCAATCCTTCCGTCTCTTTTAGATCTGTCAATGGGCAGGGTCTAGACCCGAACCCAAATAATACTCACAAGTGTACTTTTTAACGGGTTTGGTTTTATAAAAAAATATAACTTACCCGTACCTAAATTCGTGCCAGTTATTTATTTAATATAAAGGGTCGGTTATAGGACAATTCTCCAAAAAGTTCCGACCGGTTTAAAACTTGAACCATTTAAATAAAATATCTATATATATATGTATATCCTACACAATAATTGTATGTATCAAAGAATGTGTAACCCTTATCTAAATTTTGAAAATCTTTTTTGAAGGAATAGTGCCACTTGCTAATAACGTATTAGTTTTATTTTTATTCAATTAAAATGTTTTTCCTTAGTAGTATTTTCATTAAATTTTTATCAATTATACAAACGTAAAAGACGTGAACTTTTATCATGGGTATACCCAACTCAAACCCGAGACCTAATGGGTCCAACTATAGGATAAAACTTCCAAACTCGTCAGGTAAAAAGGTACGGGTCAGGATTATATATATATATTAAAGGGTAAGGTTGTAGAGCACGCAGTATTGACTGATCTGATCTGATTGGATCTGATTTGTTCTGATCTGATCTGATTTGATCTGATCTGATCTGATTTTAATAAGAATAAGAAAAAATAAGTTGAATGGAACAGGGCCTACGTTAGACTTCCTAATTAATCTTGAAGAGTCTATTTCCTATTTCCTACCACTCATGCCACCACGATACTATTTGTGTTTCAGTCGTTATTAGTTGCACCCCCACCTATCCAATTGTTTTACAACATTCATCATTTTTAGTTAAAAATTTATATAAATTTAATAAAAATATTTATCTATTAATAAAAATAGATAAATAATACTTCCTCCGTCCACAAATAAACTTTACGTTCACTATTCATAGTGTCAAATTTTATTCACTTTGTTGGCCTATTTTCGTCACCCATTTGATAAAATAATATAGTCATGTCACCTCTCATTTTGTAGATATTTTGATATAGTTTTTTAATAGGTAATTTTTATTTTTCAATTCTACACCAATTTTCATATAAAATGATTTGAAAATAACTTCAGTCAAACATCGTAATGCGCAATGTAAAGTTTATTTATGGACGGAGGGAGTATAATAATAATTATTATAAAAATAATAAGTAAAAAATAAAATAAACATAATATATTCAAAATTAACAAAAATAAATAAAAAGAATAACATAAATTAAATAATAATTTATTGAAATAAAAAATAAAATTGAAATTAAAATTTAGTTAAGATTTAGTTGAAATTGAATAAATGAAAATATAGAGTTTGAAATTGAAAATATAAATAAAACTCGCAGCAATGGTACGACGTGGCAATGACCCCCGTCGCAAGCCATCACTAGCGCCCCAAGCCCGGCGTCCAGCTCGCACCATGGCGCGGGACGCTCCCTTGACCTTCACAATTGAGGTCCGTCACGCGCCAAACCTTTTCGAGCAGCATTTTTTTATCTTCTATTGCAAATGCCCTTATGTCGTATTTTTAGGAATAATGTCTTTAATGCTTGCTCATTGCCATCATTTTTATGTTGCTTTTTTATTTCTTTTTTAGGGGTTTTCTTGCAACTCTTCACCTTTTTTATTAATTTCACGGGGTCTGATTGATTTGGGTTTTTAATAAATTACTCAGCTCTTGTGTCCCTAAAATAACTCTACTTTACTATTTAAATTACTTGATCAAGATTAGTTTTAATTCATTTTGTCTAAATATTAATATAAAAATAAATTTTACATACTTAAAAATTCATAAAAAATCTACTTTGTACTAAATAAAGATTATATGTTGGCGAGACGTGCTACACGAGGAAGGAGAATCCTCCTTGGATTTGGATTTTGTTGCTTTCATTGTTTGTTTTGTTTCTTATATGAAAGTTTTAGAGTTTTGTTAGAAATAGGAGTTTGATTCTTTATTAATTCCTCTTTCTAAAGTTTTTCTCTTGTAATCTGACAGTACCACAGAATATACATAATTCTTTTCAAACATCATTAAAAAACTTATTTCTAGGTCAAGTCAATTGTATGACTACGAATAAATTGTTAATTTTTTTCATCAAAAGCATTGCATCCTATCCTTCAATAGGGTTGTCATTACTTTCTTTTTATATTACAAAAAATAATGTATATTGTTTTATGTATTTTTATATAGTTTTTAAACAAATTGAATTAAAGAATAACTTTGATCATATATTGTAATAATGATTCAATATATTTTGTTACATTAGAATCATAATATTATATCAAGATCTCAAATTGGCACTAGTTATCTATTAGGATTTGATTTTTTTAATTTATTATTATCAAATTTTCATTCATTCTAGACTTTGATTTATAAAACTAAGTTGTCAAAAAAGATTTACAATACTTATAAAATGGCACTTTTTAGTTTTCACTATTGTATATGATGATGTTAGATTTTGAAATTTTTATGTTCGATTAGATTAATAGCGATCTTTGTACTTGTAATTTTGTGAGCACCTGAATAATAGAAACCCTAGTGTCAAAGTAGATTAGGTCAGCCGACTGAACAACTGTAAATCTTGTGTTCTGTTTTCTCCGTTTGATTCATGTTTTGTGTGTGTTCTTGTTTAGTTGTGGTTTGCAATTCATAGATACCCTAACAAAATATTGTTATCTCATTGAACCAATTCAACTAAAAGATCATGTTTATGATTGAAATCCAATGAATATCTTTTTATGTTATGTCACATGCACGCATGATTTGTCTACTTGATTGTTTGTAAAGTTAATGAAGTTATGATATTAGACCCTGGTTCCATGGCCACTGGATTCGAGTGGCCACAGAAACCACTGCCCCCCTACAGAGCTCTATTCATAAAATTGATGATTCCTACCCCCAACCCCCCCGGTAAACCCCCCGCTAAGTCCCGACCCAAACTAATCACCCCATCTACGTCAATTGCACCTCGTAAGTATAATTGACTTTAAAGTCAAAAGTTTTGACTTTATACTTACGAGGTGCAATTGACGTAGGTGGTGTGATTAGTTTGGGTCGGGACTTTGGGGGGGGGCTTACCGGGGGGTTAGGGGGGTAGGAATCATCAATTTTATGAACGGAGCTCCGTAGGGGGGCAGTGACTTCCGTGGCCACTAGAATCCAGTGGCCATGGAACCAGGCTCATGATATTATACCAACAAGGGGCCAATTTATACAAAAGTTTTTTAACACTGTTAAGATTTTTAGAACGTAATATTTGTTCAAATGTTTTTTTAACTTTGTTGGGTTAAGAAACCCAGAGCCTAGGAGACTAGGCGAAAGAGTATCGAACTGAGTCGAGAGTGCACAAGTTGGGAATCAAGTAAGATCATAAGTATTAGTGTGCAAGAGAACGTGTCCTTCTTTTTCTTAAGAAAGGACTTATATACAAACTACAAATAGGGTTCCCGATCCGTTGGTTCAGAGTCCAACGGATTGGGCCCACTAAGATTTGGTCGTTTAACCGGCGGTGCCAACCACATCATTATCCCTAAGATGGCTATACAAGATAGGTTACAAGTAGGGTGGCTAAAACTACTCTGACGAAGGTGTGGCAGGGGTCCAATCGTGGCCCCCCTGATTTGACTAGTCAGACATCTCCCATGCTTGTGGTCTCGGTCCGGTAGCATCCCAGGCCGAGGCCAAGCACACGTGATCTACTTCCTGAAGTCCTCCAATGAAGGGCCGACCGAGGGTGGTCCGAGGCTGAGCGTGTGTGTCGGGGCCGAGTACACACAAATCTTGACGCAGCACCGGCCCTCTTGAGACTTCAGTTTCTTCAGTTCCGCCCAGTTGAGTGGGCCTGAGCTTGGCTGGGTTGGGCCTCTATTTCTGTTGGGTTGGATACCCCCATTTCAGGGTATCCATCAAACTTATTGAACAAAGAGCCAACACCGTCTACGTTGGAATTCAAACATGTAGGCTCTGTTTGTTTGGGTTGTAAAAACAAAATTGAATGTTGGAGAAAATTGGAAAAAGTTGAAATTTGAAAGAAACTCAAATGATCGAGAAGAAACTAGGAGTTGAAAAATATTGGAAAATACAAAGTGTTAAAAAAATACTCAATTAAATATGTATCCAAATAAATATGTAAGAAAACTAATTTTAGATAAAAAGAATTCATCTTTGTTTGCATTTGAGAATGTATGTTATAAATTTAGACATATGATGTTAATGTATATTCATCATATGTAAATATTTTTTCTTAGTCATTGGTTGAATAAACTGGAAGAAGCTGAAAAAAATTGGAAAGTGTTTGAAACTAATTTTTCCAACCAAGATGAACAAACCTATAATCTCTTATTTAAAGAGGGCAAATTCTTATGTGATCCTTAGATCCACACTAATTTTATAGACTTCGGTACATGAACATTATGAAAGAATTGGGTTCTTGTAAAAAACAAAATCAACGTCTAAGCTCATAAAAAGTGTGAGAAAATCGACATTTTACATGTGAACCTTAAGACTACGAGAGTACAACTCATTCAGGATAGTCATAGTGATGCGGCTCGACGACAAGACCTTTGACGCTTTCTCACTTGGTTAAAGACCTTGTTTCGGAACAACATTTTCGATAGCATTAGTGTTTTGGATAAAATTTTAGTATTGTAGATTAATTCTAAAAATGTTAATTCTAAAGGTTACCGTCAGATAGTTTTTTTAAAGCGCTAATGCTGATGTCAAACAGGACCAAAGTGTTAAACCTTTAACCTTTTGAAAACACTATTAACTTTTTAAACAATAAAAAATATATATTTAAAAACTAAATAAAAAATTTTACAAAACAAGAGGTGACATGACTATATTATTTTTTACAAATAACTAACGAAAATAGGTTAGAAAAAACTAACAAAAATAGCTAAAAAAAGTGATTAAATTTTGATTGTGAATAGTACCTAGAAAGAAAGTGAATGATTACTCCATACATAACTAGCCCGATAATTTTACATCGGACCCTGCCCAATATATCCATCACAAACCACCTAGCTCTATTCTCCTAATCCACCAACAGATCAATTCCCAAAACCATTTATTGTGGTTTTGCTTGCAAGGATGAAATATTGAAATCAAATCCAGAAATCATTAATGAAATGCATATCCTTCATACCATATAAACATCTTGATTACAGCCCATTACTACACATAGTCACTGACAATGCAATCTCAGTTTAACAAATAAACTTAGAACCCAGAACAGCATTCACAGAGAAGGGCAAAACCAACTGCATTGGGAAGTGTTCTTGTTGTCAAAGAGGCAAAAGCAATACCGGGCAGGGAATGAACTCGGCAAGCAGGTTTGCGTCAACATGTTTGGAATGAATGGCATCCATGCTCAGCACGACCAGGTCCAAGTTCATCTCGTCTGCAACTTCACCAATGATTGCCGTTGGCTTGCTCCCTTCCCCTAGTCTCTCCAGTAGTTTGAACTCCGCGTATCCGCCTATGTTCATACATTCATTACAAGTTAGAGGACAATCACAACAACCTTTTGTTCTCCACCGGTAAGAGCTAGTGAAAGAAGTAAACACACAGACACACACCTTCTGATAAATGCCAGCGAATGCTTGACAATTGGGTTTCGTGATGGGGCAGAGACGCTTTGTCCTTTTCATCAATAACTGCAAAACAACATAAGCCCAAGACCGGGTTTAGGTTCTAGAATGGCTCCTAAACAACAATGCAAGACAGAACGACAAGAAGGGACGTGACGTGCCCACAACTGTTATATCAGCTCCATATTTTTTTGCCAAAGCGGCAGTAGTAGCTGCAGCCTGTCAAAATAAGAGTAATGTATAAACCATAAGCTCTAAGAAACTCTTAACATGCCATTCCACAAAGCATCTGAGCTTTATAAGCACAAAAACTCATATGGTTCCATCATCTTCATGTAAGGGAAAGAGAGACGTTGTAAACCTGCCGAGTACCCTCAGAGAGATAAGGGTTATGATCTGTGATTGGTAAAAGCAGATGCTTGAAATTAGTAAATGCATCTGCAGCTGAAGTGGCAGCCTCTGATATTTGAGCCTTAACTTTTCCTGAAATAAATGGCAGAGTATAAACATTAATTGTAATCAACTTAAGGAACAGAACTGCATATGCAATTTAAGGGTTGATTCTTGGTTAAATTCAACTTAAGGGTATACACTGATTTGTCAACAACAACAAACCAAGTAAAATACCATAAAAAGTTGGTATGGGAAGGGTGTGGGTACGCAGATATTACCCCTACTCAGAAGTAGAGAGACTCTTCCCAAGAGACTCCGACTATAAAATAAGCACATATATTGACACTAGCAACTAGGCCCAAAACATAGAAAACACACCTGCACAAACTACGGACTAAGTTAAAAATGCACCAACATAAATTACAAAGGCCCAAAGGTCTACCCAACTATTTTAATACGGGATGTCCACACGTTCCTATTTAAGGTCATATTTTCAGTAAGATCTTGAATTCGTAAGTCCCGCCTAACCACCTCCTTCCAACTCTTCATAGTTCTAACTCTATTCCTTCTCCTGCCCACTTCCTTCCAACTCTTCATAGTACTACCGCAAGCCTGACCTCTGCTCTTATTTATCATTAGTCAGATCCATAAATACTCCCTCCTATCCCTCCTAACCCCCGGCAAACCCGAACCCATCCCCCACCCCCTCCAATTGCACCCTCCAAGTTTATTTGACTTTGAAGGCAAAATTTTTAAGTATAATGAAATCTTTTTTTTAAGTATCACACTGTAAAATCAAATTTTGTTTAATTAAAGGCTAAAGCTTGATTCTTCTGGTTCTGGTAGGCCAATTCCTTTAAACGTGCTAATGAATAAGATGTATAATATAATCCATTGCACACTAAACTTGTAACGTGTAACGGGTATACACTGATTTATCAAGATCAACAACAAGCCAAGTAAAATCCCTTAAAAAGTTGGGTATGTGAAGAGTGTGGGTATGCACACAACAGCTAACCGTACTCGAAAGTAGAGAGGTTGTTACAACTCACAAGAGACCCCCACTCAAACATAGAAGCAAAAACAAAGTATGGACAAAGTAAGACAACAAAGACAAGAAGCAGACATATTCACACTAGCAACTAGACCCAAAACCTAGAAAACATACATGCACAAGCTACAGGATAAGGTAGAAATGCACCAACATAAATTACAAACTAAGGCCCAAACGTCTACCTAACTATACAAATACCAAATCTCCGGACTTTCCTATCTAAGGTCATAATTTTGGTAAGATCTTGAAGCCGTAAGTCCCGTCTAACCACCTCGTCCCAACTCTTTATGGTTCTAACTATATTCCTTCTCACGAGTCAAGCCCACTACCGCAAGCCTGACCTCTGCTCTTATTTATCATTAGTCAAATTCATAAATACTCCCTCCGTCCAATCTATTTGTCCTTTTGCCTCTTTCGGTGAACAAACTTTGAACATTAATTAAATAAGTTTTTGAAAGTTTTCTACAAAATAAATCTAATGAAATCTTTTATTACTATTAATACATAATGCATAAATCAAATGATCAAACTGGGATGGGGTTAGTACACACTATACTGTAAAATCAAATTTTGTTTAGTTAAAGGCTAAAGCTTGATTCTTCTGGTTCTGGTAGGCCAATTCCTTTATATGTGCTAATCAATAAGATGTATAATATAATCCATTGCACACTAAACCCGTAACGTGTATATCTAGCATGGACAAAAGGAGATTCATGAACTAAGAACAGATTGCAGGATAAATAAATGCAAGGAAATTAGGGATACCTGATTGCCCAGTTCGCAAAAGTTCCTGAACAAACGAGGAATTTAGAGTCTTGAATTTAAGCAAGGACTTGGAAGGAGAAGAGGAAGAAGAAGAAGAGAATGGCGGGGTTAGGATTGAAGTTCTTGAATGGAGTTTTGAAGGGTTGAATGCAGGAGAAACCGCAACTGAGTGGGGAGCAATTGCCATTGCCATATGGGAAGAGACGAACCAATACTCTCTCGATTTCTTGTGGATCAAGAAGATGACGATGAATGAAGATGACTGACTACTCGTGTGCTCGAGAGTATCCACAGATAAGGGCCATGAGTCCAGTCTACAATTCAACCCGAACCCGAGCTAACCGACCCGACCGACCACTAAAATATCCGAACCTGAACCGAGAATAAAATAATCTGAACCCGATCCGAAATTTTTTACCCGAACCCGACATCGGGTCGGATCGGGTGTGAGTTTATTATTTTACCCGACCCGAACCCGAACCTGCACCCGACCCGACTCAAACTCGAATATTTTATAACATAAAAGCCTATCTATAGATATAATGAGCATTCCATATAATCTCTTGGCAAAATGTTACTATATCAAGTATGTCATTTATAACATTTTTATAATTCTTTAATAAAAAATGAGACACAAAAAAAATTAGATTTAATCTTTTTAAAATTATTGGGATACATTGAATTGATTATTGGTTAAAAGTCGGGTTCGGGTCGGGTTTGGGTTTTGGGTTGGAATGTCGGGTTCAGGTCGGGTCGGGTTTTGGGTCGGGTTTGAGTTTCGGTTTAAAAGTTGGGTCGGGTCGGGTTCGGGTATAGTGCTATCCGACCCGAACCCGACCCGTTGCCATCCCTACTTAAGTCCTTTCTTAGATCGAATTCTGGAATTGGAATTTAGATTTTTGGTAACACAAAAATTATGTGGATTTGGAATTGATAGTGCAAAAAGTGAATTGAAATTAGCAGAATTCAATTTTATGGAATTGAATCCCATGGATTCAATTCCAATTCCACCAATTTCTTATACCAAACGGACCCTTAGGGTTCGTTTGGTATAAGGAATTGGTGGAATTGAAATTGAATTGGATTTGAAATTCCATGGGATTCAATTTTATAGAATTGAATTCTGTCAATTTCAATTCATTTTTTGCAGTATCAATTCCAAATCCACATAATTTTTATGCTACCAAACACCAGAATTGGAATTGAAGTCCTCAATTGCAATTCCATAGTTTGAATTCCATGTACCAAACGAGACCTTACTATTGCAAAAATTCAATACAATATCTAAATTGTAACTAGGGCTGTAAACGGATAACCGAAAATTCGATTACCGTCCGCATCCGTATCCGTTTATATAGAAAATATCCGCATCCGTTAAAAACGGTTATTATCCGTATCCGATTAAGGATATCCGATTGCTAAACGGATACGGATTTGGTAATCATACATCCGATCCGTTTATAATCCGCTCCGCATTGACATCCGTTTAAATAACCGTTTATCCGTGTATCCGATCCGTTATATATGGTCTTTCCTAATTTTTTATTTTTATATTTTGTTTCTCTATAGATNGATATCCGACAAAAGTAAACGGATACGGATTTGGTAATAGCACATCCGATCCGATTAAAATCCGTTTACACCCCTAATTGTAACAATCACATTATTCATGTTACTACTCGTGTGACTCGAGAGTATCAACAGATAAGGGCCATGGGGTGAGTCCGGTGAGGATGAAAATAGATCTGGAGAGAGACGAAGAAGGTGTGGGAATCGGTGCAAATGCTGAGTTGGAGTGTCAGGCGTATGAAAATCAGTAGGGTTTGGGTGGAGGGTAAAAGAATCATTTTAAAAGAAATGCGAAGTGTTTTAAGGGACGGATAAAAAAAGAGGAAATGTTTCACGGGACGGAGGGAGTATGTGAGTATCTTAACTTTTTACACGCCGACCTTAGGACCACGATAACACTACGCTGAGTAAAGCTTTGTTCTTTTTATTTGGAAAAATTAACTTTTAACTTTTTCTAAGTTTTCACTTTTTTCGATATTCAACTCATTCTAGTTTTTTCCAATGACTTAAAAATATATTTTCATACGATGATTATGCAATATCATTGTATATCTAAATTTATAACATAACATTTAAAACATGGAAAAAAATGAATTCTTTTTTATACATAAAATTGGTATTCTTACATATATATTTGAGTGGAGTAATGTTTAACGTTTTATTTTTCTACTCCCTCCGTTTCGTTTTAGATCGCCTGTTTTGACTTTTGGGCATATTTAAGAAAAAGAAAAAATAGAGTTGATTTTTTGAAATTATCATTACTTTTTAGGAGGGGTGACGATGAATGAGAATATAACGTTGAGAAGAGTGACCTATTTTAAGGGTAGTTTAGGTAATTTACTTTTAAAAGTTTAAGATAACAAGTACTCCTTCTGTCCGGGAATAAGCTTCCTACTTTGACTTTTCCTCATTTTTAGTGGAGGCTTGAATAAGGCATGAAATGCCTAAATTACCATCCCCTTCCTTTCCCAGCCCTGCCACCATTGAGAACCCACCACAGCCTCCACCGTAGCCCCTCCCCTCCTCGCCGCCAGCCTAGCCATTGCCGTCAGCTCCATCACCGATCCATTCTCTGACCATCTCCACCATCCCCCTCCACCATAATCGCTCCACTCTCACCATCACCAACATAGCCCTACCATTAGATCTCAAAGAAATAAAGAATTATAAGAAAGAAATTAGAAAGAGATTAGAAGAAGATTCCAGATCTAGGCTTACCACGGACGCATCCTCACCATCGCCGCCCCCTACCATCGTCGTCGCCACCATTGCTGCCGCCACCATCGCTGCCAAGCTCAGATCTGGAAGAGAGATAAGAGAAATAAGAGGAGATAAAGAAGGGAAAAGATGAAGGGGAAACGTGAAGAAGAGGAGATGACGAAGGAAGAGAGAGGAGGAGAAAGAAGAAGAAGAGGAAAAAAGAAGAAAATTGAGTAGAGGAGAGGAGGATGAGATGAGGGAGGAAGAGAGGAGGAGAAAGAAAGGAACGAAAAAAGAAGAAAAAGTGGAAGAGGGGAGAGAGTGAGAGACGGCAGTAGAAAAAGAAAAGTGGGGGTAATTTAGGAAAAAGTGGTATAAAATAGTAGAATGAGAAGATTATTTTCGGACGAAAAAAAAGGTAGAGTAGGAAGTTTATTTCCGGACGGAGGGAGTAACACTCAACTTATTTTGAGACGAAAAAAAGGTAAATAGCCAATTTAAAATGGGACAGAGGGAGGAACATTTTCAAACTATTTCCATTTGTTTTCCAAATAGAAAAGAGTTTAGAATGTTACTCCCTCCGCCCTAAAACTTTCTTCCTAGAGTACTATTCCAACTTTACGAGAATTTATATTTATTTGTGTTTTTTCATGGCCTCTATAATAAAATAAAATATTCTTGTCACCACTTGTTTTGTTGAACTTTTGATGTAGTTTTTAAATATGTATATTTTATTTTTTATTTCTATACCCATATTTAAATAAAATAGATTGAAAAATTTGAAATTTTTCTTCGTTTTAAAAACAAGGAAGTACTGATGTTTGGCCAGTCCGCTCTAGGAAGCTTAAAAACAAGGTGCCGCGGACCGCGGAAAAACGGAAACAAGGAAAAACGGAACCGCGGACCGCCAGCTGCCGGCGATATGGAAGACATGGTGCGGGAGAACGACGGCGTGACGGCGGGGGATCCGGCGGGCGTGCAAGAAATGACGACCGTTTCCTTCCACCACTTCGCAAGCTCAGACAAAGCCGAAGATGGGTTCTCCGTCACCATTATTGAGGCAAGTAACTATAAGTAAGCATCTCCCTCCCATCCCCCCCCCTCGATTGTACGAAAAAATGGAAATTTTCAGAGAAGCTATAAACAGTCAATTTCTTATCATAAATTTATAAGCTCTCGTTGTTTAATGTACAGAACATGAAAGAAGAGTACGGTCTGTTTGTGTGGCCCTGCAGTGTTATTCTGGCGGAGTACGTTTGGCAACAAAGGTCGCGCTTTTCCGGCGCCGCCGTGGTGGAGGTCCGTAGAATTCGTGAATTTTCTTGTTTCACTTTGGGGTTGATTAGCTTCATTATTATTCTGGGATCTGCAGCTGGGTGCAGGAACATCGTTGCCTGGATTAGTTGCTGCAAAAGTTGGGGCAGATGTCACCCTAACAGACGATTCAAGCAGACCTGAGGTGAATGGTGATTGATTTTTATTTATGGGCGATTGATTTCTTTGAAATGGAGGATTAAAAATGTAAACTTTTTTTAGTTCGAGGGGCAATACGAAAAGATGTGTTGCAGTAGAGGATTGCCAAACTTTTTTCATGGATTATGGGTTTTGTTATTTCAAGCAATGGATTGCAGCAGGGTTAGGCTTGATTCTTTGGGCTCTGAGAGGGGTTTTAGTACCATAAAAACTGATCTTTCATTGTTCATGGATCTGCAGGTCCTAGCTAATATGCGAAGGCAATGTGGCTTAAATAATCTTGAATGTAAGGTAAATAGATTCTGCAAGATCCATATTCTCTGGTATTAGGAAATGTGTAGTGAAAAAGAGCATCCATATTGACTGGTTTTTGGCATTTTATTGTCGTGTCCTAGGTGATGGGTCTTACGTGGGGACACTGGGACTCAAATGTCTTTGATCTACACCCAGATATCATCCTTGGAGCTGATGTTCTGTATGACTCAAATGGTATATTTAAGCATTCTGTTTTAAGGAAATCATGTGTCCCCTCCATTTGCTTTCTTGTTGAGCCCACCAACTGAAGATGAGAATTTGATGTCGTTCGTCAAGCTTTCGATGATCTCTTTGCGACTGTGGCATTTTTGCTCGAGAATTCTCCCTCGTCTGTTTTTATCACTACGTATCACAACAGAAGGTACGCTCTCGCCTTTCTCTTTTTTTATTTATTCCTTCAAAATTTTAAATAAAAATGTGTTGCCTTTTGGCATGGTTCCTAATTTCTCATCCCTTTTTGATGGCATGTGTGTGCAGTGGGCATCACCTGATTGAGTTCTTGATGGTGAAGTGGGGACTGAAGTGTGTGAAGCTTCTTGATGGATTCTCATTCATGCCACCACATAAAGCCTCTGGTTTGAGTGGTGATATCCAATTAGTTGAGATTGCTTTGGCCTCAAACCACACTACAGAATTGTAGAATGCTGTCAATATGGAGTCTACTCAACTCCCACCCTTTTTTTCTTTGATTCCCAAGTCAAAAGATTCATCTTTATTTCATCAACATTTGGTTTGGTATATGTTTGACATTGAAGTGATTGATTTCTTCTAAGTTCCATTGCTATCTATCTCTCCATTTGTTTTCTCATGTTCACGTGTTGATTTTACAATGTCAATCTTGTAATAAGACATGCATTATCGCATCATATTTGCCATGCAAAGGTTCTGTAACAGCTTTTGTGAAAGGGCAGCCTGCTTTTGGATCATTACAGTTATGACTGACTAATTGAAAATAGACCAAAGTTTCCAAACTACAACAAAAGAAACAAAAAGATAAGATTTTGGCTTCTAAAATCAGCAGGAAATGTTTCCAGTGTACACATATATCTACAATCAAGAATAGCATCTGCAAAACTGCAGAGAACAAGACTCTCCACCCAAACGGGGCACTAGCATTGTGTTCAATAGATACAGGATCATCATGTCTATACAAGGAGGGCAAGAAACACTAGGCAACTGTAAGCCAGAGCTAAGGCTGGCATTTCACAGGCTGGGATTGCAAATGAACTTTGGGTAATGCTTGTCCTGCCATCCGATTGTAGGTCACCAGCAGCCACGGCTGGAGGCACGCTGGTTGTATTTAAGGGCATGTGCACCTTCTCAGTGTCATAACCTACAAATTGATACAAAAAGGCATCCATAACATTGTCTTTATTGATTCAGAATCATATACTGCAGAAGATGGTGAGAAGAAAACTCACAATCAAACTTCTTCCACCCAAGAGTAACCTTTTCGCGATCAAACACGAACCGGTATCCAGTCATGAAATTTTCTGAGGTCACAAGAACCAAAAACTATCAAACGAAGGCATGAACATAAGAAACAATGCTTGAAGGCTATGGGGAAACTTACGTCCAATTATATTGTAATCTTGGCTCTTCAGAACACCAAGGCAATACACAAGTTGGCTCTGCAAATTATTATAGGGGAGAAATCAGATACTGTGAAGAATAGATACACTAAGAAGTGTATTTGTACCTGAAGTGAGATGACAATTATGGGATCAAAGACAACAAGGCGGCCTCCTCCTTTCATAGTTAGGCTCATTGTAGGAATCAAACTAGTAGTTGAATTAGAGCTGTCAAAAACAATATGAAGAACATAAATATCCTCACAAAAGAGCTTATAAAAAATCAAAAACAAAACTACCCCCATGAGCTAACCTCATTTCATAACAATACTTGAAAGGGATCCTTTGATCAAATGCATATCTTCTATCCCGTGTTTGCGAGTCAAACTAAACAAAGATGAACCCAAAAAGTAAACTGAGATATTAAAACAGCCGATTCAACTTCCATAGAAAAGGAAAAAAAGATAAACTTATCATCATTAAGAATACAAATCATTACACTCTGAGAAAGCTTCGTGTAAGGCGGATCATCCAAATAGGTGAAGGAGGTTCCAGTATCAAAAAGTGAATCAAACTCATACTCGACGATATCAGTGCCAACACGAATCTGTGAAATGGTGATGTTGTACCTAGGGCTGCTTTCAAGTGACAGTTAATACAATGAGTTAAAATAACAAGAGTATACTTAGTTAACTAGTAGTAGTACTAAAGAAAGTAACTTATGAGGTACATGATTACCACTTACTGCAACGGATTCAAGTTGAAAGGGGTTTCTTCCTGGTCAAGACTACCCTTATCGCCAAAGTCAATCCTTCCCACTCCGTCACGGCCAAAACACATGGAGAAAGAATTTGGCATGTACCCTTCTCGGGATAGGATACGAGGGACTGATACTTTCTCAAAACCAAGCCCGAATAACCCGTTCGGGGCTGCAACATCTAGGAACGAACCGGTTTGCACTTGACCACACCTAGAATGTTCCATCTTTATTGGACTCGTAATGAATATTCAGTACTATAAACTACTAATTACAGCTTGAAAATTGTTAATCTCACCCAAAGACAACATATGCCTCAACAAACTCTTCCTCACTGTCATCTGTTTCCAGTTGCAGAACATCCTGCAGCAGAATTCCGGAAGTTGAAGTTTCTGAGGAGAGATACGAGACCGAATAAGGGCAATGGCTATATTCGCCAAGGCAGTTGCTGCGATGAGAGCAATAGCTGTTGCTGCAGGTGACTTCCTTTCCAGTTGATGATCCATTCAAGTTGTAAATGCTTAGAGCAAAATCCTGCATCATCATAACCAGGTCACAACACATAATCTGCAGAACTGTTTCTTGATCAAAAGAAAAAAGAAAGAAATGAAGGATAATGAAACACACGGAATCTGTAGATGTGCAATTGGAACAATCACAGGGTACCCAAAACAAATCGCTCCCAGTATCCAGAGCCACCATAAACCTCATACCCGGCGTCCCCAGAGTCACAGTTGTGTAATGCAAGCTACAATTTTTATCAATATTTGGAAACTCAATTTTAAAAAAAGATGGGAATTTAAGAACGAAAGTTAATTCATTTTCAAGAATTGAGGGGTCTTTACAATCCCAAAGAGCTGATCCGGAAAGTGGAATTCCCATCGGAGAAAGTGAGGCTTCTGCTGCTATCGGAGTCGTACAGTCTCCGGCCATGTAAGAACATATCATGGCTGGCCAGTTGTGTATAGTAATCAAGACTGCCCTTTGCCGGCCAACTGTAGACCGGTAAAGATGCGCCGGCGGCAGTTCTCTGGAGGGCCAATTTCTTGACGGGGTCGGAGAACCGGTGGTGGAGTTCGAAGGTGAAGATGCGGGCATGGGAGGGCTGGAATGAACAGACCAAGAAGACTGGGATCAAGAAGAAAGCGAGAAAAGAAACCATTTTTCTTGGGTTTTCATCCAGTGAGAGAGTGCGCCGGGAAGATTAGCAAGATTTTTCTTGGGGGATTCTTGAATTAAATATGCGGAGACGAGTGAATGAAGTATTTGAAATTTGAAAGTGATTTTTATGTTTGTTTGTTAGATTTTGAGAAAGAATTCCGGCAAGTGATAAGAAAGAAGCAAGTAAAATTTGGCGCTTTTGGCGGTTGATGTAGTGCTCCTAATAAGTATGAACTCTATGAATCAGGGTAAATTTGTAGCTGGAATTTCGAAGTGGTACCTAAACTTCAAATCCTTTCACAAAAATCCTTGAACTTACACAATCCTTTCACTAATGAGCCATTAGCCCGTTTCTAGGTTAACTTCCGGTCATTAGGGCCAAATTCGAATTTTATATATTTTAAAATTTTCAATTTGACCCCATTTCTTCTTTTCTTTTCTTCCACGCCCCGCCGTCGCCATCGCTGTCGACCTCGAAGCTCTTCGCCGCTTTAGCTCCCATTGTCAACCTAAAATCTCGTCGTTGTTCTCCCGCAATCGAGCTCCCATCGCTGTTCCAGTCAGCCATCGCCGTTCCAGTCTACCATCACCGTTTTCCAGTCCGCCGTCGAGCTACCTGTTGTCTCCTCACTTCGATCCCAAGGTTTTTTCTTTTTCTTTATTTAAAATAATAAATTTTATTTTTAAATATTTTGTGTTTAATATATGAATTATTACAAAATGTGATTTTTGTGTTTATGTCTTAGTTAGGTTTTTGTGCATTATTTTTGGGTATTTGACTTGATTTAGTATATTCTTGAATTGTTTTGTGTGTTTGTGTTATCTTTTCAACATAAAGGTTTTTTAAAATTACATTATAATTTCTGAAATTTTATTTGTGCTTGTGTTTGTGAATTGTTGGATGCTACATGATTTGAGATGCTTTTATGTAGAAATAAAATATATTGACCAACCTAGATACTCGTTTAAAATTTACTCATTATGAGTAAATTTCAAACAGCTCCTAGTTTGGAGCTATTCTTGAAATGTTTCTTACTTAGGTGGTGAATGTACTTCTTTTTCTTTGTTCTATCATTTTTTTTGGTTTGACATTTTTGAAATGCGTTCTTCGGGTGCATATGTACCTACATTACATCGTGCACTCAGATAATCATTGGGAAATGCTACCGAAATTTTGATAGATCAAACAAAAAGAAATGCTTTTACTAGTGAGGGTTGCGTTTTAAGAATGAATTAGAATGAAGTAAAGAAGGATCATTTGTATAATGAAGAAATGTTGCTGGATTTGTGTTACATCATAAGAAATAAAATATTGGATTGCTTGTATTTGTTGTATATGTATGTGTATATAAGTGAAATGAGTGTTAATTGTGGTGTGCATTGTTTTGTATCCAATATTATGTGATTTGTATGGCTCATCTTCACTTTGCATGCTCAGTGTTCCATATAGTTACACGATGTAAATTTGTTTTAGTGTGTTCTTGTAACTAGAGTATCCTTGTCCTTTATTATAGATTATTGGAATTTATTATTGTATGTTTTCGTTCGTATTGTAGGTGTTTCATTCTACTTTGCCTTATACAATTGCTGAATTAGAGGAGGTTAGAGAATTTTGGGCGGGGGTTTTCTTGATGAATTAGTTTAAGTTTTATATGTTTCTATTTAGTTGTATGACTTCTTTGTTAAATTGAATATATAGTTTAGTTATTTAATTGTGGTGCTATAGTTTGTTAAATATTTTGTTATTTTGGTTTTGGTGAATACGTTACGAGTCTCTTTTGGTCAGTCTTGTTCTACTTTAAGTCGGTTTTAGCATATTGTGTTCTATTCTGTTCTGCTGATTTATATGGTTCTATTCTGCTACAAGGCTGTTCTGTTCTCTGCTGCTGTAAAAAATATATATTATTTGAATCAGTTGTTTATGAACAACCGATTAAAAAGCCCTTCCCCAGAACTGGTGCCATTTCTGGGAAGGGTTTTTGAAACTGTTGTTTCCAAACAACCGATTTAAAAAGCATTTCCTAGAACTGGCGCCACTTCAGGGGAAGGGTTTTTGAATTTCTTATTCCGAAACAACTAATTCAATATGTCCTCCCCACTAATGGCATCAGTTCTGGGGAAGGTTTTTTGAATCGGTGGTACAACCGGTGCAAAAAGTATTTGCATTAATTGCTTTGCTACCTTTTCATCGGTTCGCAACCGATTTAAAAGGTTAAAAACACCCGATTTAAAAACTCTTTTCTATAGTAGTGTTAGAGTTGGTGTAGGAGAGAGAGAAGGTTTGAAGCATCAGACATCAAACACATTTCCAGTGCTCTTACTCCCTCCGTCCAAAAGAGTCACATGTTATTGTTTATGAGGCTTGACTGAAGTTATTTTTAATTTAAATTATTTGAAAATTAGTAAAGAATTAAAAAAATAAAATCTAAATATTCAAAAATTATATTAAAAGTTCTACAAAACAAGAGGTGACGAGACTAAATTTTTTTTCTCAAATGGGTGCGAAAATATAATGGGTGAAGAACGTGGTTAAAGTTTGATCGTGTGAATAATAAACAAACAATTTAAATTGAATTGAGACACAAGAAATATAAAATTTGATATATCAAACCTATATCTTAAGATGAGCCAATTATATTGATTTTACATTAAAATTTAATATATTTTTTCATAACTTTATGATAAAAAATGTCACTATTTGCTAAAAAATCAAAATAGGAAGTATTTTATTGAGATTGCGGTCGTATAAAGTTGTGAGATTCAAAGTGAGGCAAATGAGAGAGAACCATACCTTACCAAAACATTTTCAAAAGTGAAAAGAGAAATATTTCCTTAGGACGTTTTAAAAAAATGTGATTACTAGTTCGAGACAGAGAGAGAATACTTTGATGATGTGACATGTTAGAGTATACAAAGTTAATTTTAAAATAAAAGTTTAAAGTATGGGATCTTCAATAGTTTCATTTTTTGAAACATAAATTTTGTTTGACATAAGTGCATTAATGTGTTTTAGATATTGTATAAGATCTAACGTAAGTTACGTAAAACATTCAAATTTGATCTTGGTCTAGGGCCGCCTCGAAAAATGAAAAAATGAAATTGGCTTGGTACGAAATTTACATTTTGGGTGCTATTTTATTAATTTAGAATACTTATGCTTCATAATTAATGATGAATTTAAAAATATAGGGCCCTAAAATTTAAGGAGCCCCGTGCAGTTGGCTACTTTTCTAATCAAATATTAGGATTCAATAATTATACAAATATCAATCAAGTACAAATCTCATTTAAAATTTGTTACATATTTGGGTTAAAAAACCTATTCAAAAAATTAAACTAATACAAATTCAAATATTTCGATATTCAATTCAATTTGTTTACAGCCTTAGGTTAGAGGCTTAGAGCAATTAAGGTATGATATTGAGTTATAATTATTGGTCACATTCCATAACTACCAGGTATACTTGATCAAAGTATGGGTTGGGCTAGATTCCGGACACAACCGAGATGTTACATTACGAGAATTTTCTAAGCTCGAGCCCGGCTTGCTAAGAAAACTGGCCTAACAATTGAAACTTGAGCTCGGCCCATATGGACTCCCATAGGTTTTGGGCCAGTCCAGCCCGCTTTCGTAATACTTTTAAATAATTAAAAAATGGTTCTTTAATTAAATTAATATAATAATATATTAAATAAAAATTAAGATGTATATGATATCTAAATGAACGACTGGTGTATATACGGTATATAAACCAGTGTTTTGTATGATTTTTGTATATACAGTATGGTATACCCAACGTGTTTTGTATAATTTGTGCAACAAAAAAGTATTTTTAAAACCATGATTAATGTGCAGGGTTAACTTTAAAATATTATTGTATACTTTGAAATAACTTTAATTTGAAAGTATTTTATACGCGATTCGCTAAGTCAATCAAATCGTTCTGCACGCTTTTCGTATACCGAATTTCTTACGCTACTTCACAATGTCATTGTTCCTACTAACTTTCCAACAATGGTTACTCCACCCACACACATGTTTGGTGAGAAAGTAGTGATGACAACAACACATGAATGAATGATGTATTACTATTGACATGTTTAGTTAGCACTAAATTTGAAACTTATGAAAGGTGAAGCCAAACTTGAGAAAGCTATTAGTTGGAGGTAGACGACAAGGGTGAATAAAGTTGCATTTGACGATGAAGGAATCGGACGTCGTGAATCAATGGGTTACCGGCCCGACCAGGTGGTGATGGGCACCCGCCACACAACAACGTCAACATTGCTGATGAATCTCTATCATCTCTTTTCTGCATATACCATTTTGATCATTTTTATTAATTAACATATGTGACACCATTTTATTGATTGGTTTGCTCTCTTGAGACTATTATATATGGACCAAGGGATGGCATGAGTAGCATTTGAAACTAACCTTTTGGTGCTCACTAATTATGTTTAAAACTTCACTTCTTTCTTCGTCAACAATGCTCGTGTGCCTGACCAAATCACATACATCATGTGAGTTGACATTAGTAACTTTCTGTGTCACAAATGTCACACACGAAAAACAGAACGATGATGATAAACATACTACTGGTGTCGTCGAGATGTCTCTACCTATTATTAACGAGATTTATATCAAATCGATGATGTGTTTAAGAATAATTTACCTATGGGTGCTACAACAGGCGATGGGGCAGAGGAATTCAGGGAGAGCGGAGACGAGACGCCGCGGTTTAGGGCAAATAGGGACCTCACCATTGCTTCCATGATGATGATGATGATTAAGCATGACTATTGTTTCATCAAATAGCCTCTTAATAATAGTATTATTGCATTATATTTCACTCTTTGAAAGAAGCAGTAGAGATGCATTTGAATTAATATTTTGGTAATATTTGAATTAATAAAAGAAAGCTTTGATACTCACTTATATATATATCTCTGAAAAAATGAGCAAAGTGTCACTACTAAAATGTGAACCACATGCTTTTATTTGGGACATAGAATGTGAGTGAGAGAGCATATATGAAGAAGGGGAGTGTGAAGGGTAGAAGCCAACTGTTAGGCTGAGATTTGTTATAGGGGCTTTGGGTTGACCAGACCTTTTCCATTCCTCTTTCAATTCTTTTATGGACACTTTTTGAATTGATTAATGTTGGGACCCAAAATAAAATCCATACATTTTCAAATAAATCTCAAAATCAGGTTTTTCTTATGTAATTACTGAAAAGATCCATGAATTTTGAGATGGATCTTAGGTCGATAGAAAAAATTACCTGCAGTAATACCATGACAAAGAATTTACTTTGAATTGTTCCTAAAAAGTTACTCCCTTCATTCCAGTTTAAATTGCACATTTCAGTTTACAATGTTTGACTGAAATATTTTCAATTCTTAGTTTATGCAAATAGGTGTGAACTTTAGAAATAGCATTTATATTTTAAAAAACTAAATATAAAATTCTAGAAAATAAGAAGAGTCGTGATTATATTATTTTATCAAATAAGTATCAAAAATAAGTAATGAAACTAGTTAAAATTTGAATATGTATATAATGAACATGCAACTTAAATTTGGACTGGCAAAGTATAATTTAACTTTACGATGAAGAAATATTATCCCATTCCAAAATAAATTTTCATTTTCCTGTTTTGTCTGGTTCAAAATAAATTTCTACAATTTCTTTTTTAGTGCACAACAATTTCTTAAACGTTGTAAAGCCAAACATCGAAGTTCATACAGGAATGGATGGAATACAAATTTAGATAATTTATTAGGAGTAACTTAGGCCATGTTCTCTTCAAGTATTTCTTATTACTTTATTTTTTCCTTATTAGAATCAGATCAGATCAAAAACAGCTTTAAATAAAACTACATTCAAATCAGACCAAATTAGAATTTATTCCAATCAGATCAGAATCATTCAGATCAAGTGAAGAGAACGTGACCTAGTATTAAGTGGCAAATTGGAACCAACCAATTCTTTTTTCCTTAAAGTGCACCAACAATTTGATTTTTTAATTATCACTAATAGCTCTATTACAATGTAGTATCTATTCAAAAAAATTCTCAAATTGTTGAAATTCATAGAGTTATCGCTCTCACTTGGGTTCGAACATGTGACCTCTCATTTGGGAGAGCCACTATAGTGGTATTTGGCTTTTTGGCCCAACCAACTCTATTAATTAAGCGCAATTATTAAGTAATCATGTATTACATTATCAAGGTTATACTAAACATACTAAATACATTGTACAAATAATCATGTGGTATGTGTTAGGGTGACCGACATTAGCACAATCTACCCAAAGAAAAAAATAAATTTAAAGTGGGTAAGAGAAGCAGCAGCAGGAGAAAATGGGAGTATAACATCAAAAAAGATCACAAATGCATATATACAGAATTGATCATCACATCATTCATTGACCTCATGAATCCCATTCAAATGCAGGTTGAGAGAATACCTCATAGTCAATGGGTCCATTGACCACCCGGTCAACGGTCTGCACTTGTTGTAAAAATCCGGGCTCGAACCCATCGTTATCACAAGGCAACAGTTTGTATGCAACTAGCAACAACAGTGTGAATATGGCCTGGAGCTTTGTGGAGTCTCCATGTGCTGAAAAGAACATCAGCATAGATGCGAGGAACAAGACTACGCAGAATCTCATGATACACAACACCCTGTCTATTAGGCGACCGTCATTGCCAGCAGGGAAACCTCGGACCCTGTAGACAAAGAGGAAGTTGTACTTGTCGACGACATATCTGTACCCAAAGTAAACAGCGCCGACTGGGACCACAAGAGGAGCAAACGCAGAGTATATAAGGGTCAGTGCAAATATTGTGAGATTGAAAGCGTAGTATTGAGCAAAATCAAATGTCTGCTTGGGGACAGGTGAGGTTCTGCTGACTGGAGGGAATTCGGAGAGATTTTGAGCTGGAAAATCAAACTCGTGTTCATGCGGGACCCCATTCTCAAATGTGTTGGATGTTCTTTCAGAAATCAAATGCGCCTGCAGAGTATCTGAGCCTTGATTTTCTAACGGGTAATCCTCACTACGTTCTGGTACCAGCTGGACCATGTCATTCTTCCTGAACTTCTGAAACTGTTTCTTGATCCATGGTATTGGGGCCAGCAAATCAAAAGATATGCCCAAAAAAGAGCTGGTGATTAAAAAAGCAAGAGAAGAGAGGCACGTCTTGGTCAAGAATGAGGAACTCATATACTGTTCAATCCTTTTGCAATCTTGACCGTCCAAATAACACTGGCCCATCTTTAGGAGTGCACTTTCAAGCGATGACTCCACAAGAGCTCTAAGGAGAATGAGGTTTACAAGAAAGAAGCACACCATTTTCAACAAGGCAGCTCTTTGTTCACCAGACACGGTAAGGTGTCGTTCAAATTTAGAAAGATATGATAGAAGAGATGGGATGATGATGTACATACTGACAAAAATAAGAACGTTTGGAAGAAACTGGAAGACTATGGCGGCAAACCAGCTGGAGCTCTGCACCCAAACAAGCCACATCTGAGCATTATCTATTGCCTCTGCATTGATTATCCTCCATGCACTCTCAAGGGCACTAATGATGGCAAGGGGGGAACTGCAAAACAAAAGCATCAACACCAGGCATGTGTTTACTAACACCCTACGCAATTTCAGTGAGAACTTTGTAGATCCGAGATGATTCCAATAAATGTCAGTAGCCAGAGGAGCTCTCTCAACTTTCCACTGGTTTCTCTGAAGTTGCAACTCTGTAATAGAAAAGAATCTCCCATATCGCCTTCTCTTTTCATTGCGAAGATCTTGGACTGCCTTATTGGCTGTATACACGTCTCTAAAGACTACAAATGCCACCCCAGCCCCTCGTGCCCTTCCATCCTTGTAGGCTGCCATTTCCATTTCAAGATCAGCTCTCTTTTCTTGGAACTTTCTCAACTTCTCCTCATATGAAAATCCGAGATGATTAAAAAGAGTATACCATAGCTCTTTGCTTCTCTTCCATTTGTCATGCAACCTCTCTAGTAAACCACTTTCACCTCTTGTTTCTTCACCTTCCTCGGCCAAATCCAACATGCCTCGGGATTCAATCCATGAAACAAGTTTAGAAATGTCATCCCGGACTTTCACCAATTCTGTAGCTAAATCATCCAGTGCACACAAATCCATTGGCACAATAACACTATACAGTTTTCCCGGGTACTTATGCTGGAAATAATCCACCAATGGTGTCTTATCAAAGCCTAAGGTTTTTGGTACGCCTTGAACCATTATAGTAAAAATTGCACTAGAATTTGCACTTGGTTGGCTAGGATTACCATACACGTCTCTGAGCCTAGTTACTTTCAGCCTTTCTTGAATTTTATTTATACCAAAATGCACCAAGAGAACGATGATTACAACAAATATGAAGTGAATCCAGAGCAAAGGCGAACCTTTTTCGATATGATTTATAGTAGTTTTTGAGAATTGATCAGCAATTAGAGCGTTCCCAGCATACATATTCAGTGGAAGCATCACAGTGACGGCAAGAATCGCTAGGAATATGAGAATGCCGGAGCTGCCTCCTTCAATCAGGAGAAATTGCGCGGCATCCGCGCCACAGTGGTGGGCGATCTCAACCCCGCCGGCATGCCAAGCTGCAAGGAGCTTGGAGACAATCGCGGTGGGTCCGGGCATGCGTCTGTGGTCGCTGCGAAGTTTGATTAAGACAAAGATGAGGAGGCAAGTGAGAGCTCCAATGGCGGAGAGGTTAAGCAGATACTGAATGTTGCCGTACCATGCCGTGTCAAAATCAAATTCCCCGTCGCCTCCGGACGGCGGCGGGGAGAGAGCGGAATCAATCGCCCGCGACGACTGAGGTGGGTACGCGGAAGCAGGGATTGCCATGAATCTCAGCTTCACGGATTCACAATTAGGGCTTATCAATTGGGAAATTTGTTGATGCGGATTGAAAATACGGAGTCACAGAATTTCCGGTGCATAGGGTTTTAAAAAACGGATCACTTTGATTCAAGAGAAAAAACAACATTACACTTGTTATGCATCCATGAACTTATCTTTTGGTTTAAACTTGGAATAAAGGGAAAAGGTTAAAAAAAGTGTTTTTTTACCTATTGAAGAGGGTTTTATCATGGTTGGTTGGAGATGTTACTTCAGATATACTCCCAACTTTATTTCTCCGTTAAATATTGAATATTTTTTTTTGATTAAATGCGCAAATATTTTATTCACCACATCAAAATCGCCCAATACATCATCAGAAAAGTAGATTATACAGAGCTGTCAAAACCAAAACTTATCTCAAATATATATTCCTAAGTTTGTAGTTTATAAAAGTTTTCAACTGAAATTTAATCCACTCTTTGCTTTCTCCAGCTGAAACACTCCTATGTTGTTTAACTTTAAGGTTGCGCCTTCCATACTGCGTAGTAAATGGAAGCAAACCCAGCCATAATCATCTGTCGTTTCCTTTGATATATTTGAAATTTTCTTTCATTTCCTCATCATTGGTAGCCTTCCACTAAAAATGCAGCCACTGTCCAATCTCATTCATAATGTGAAAGGTAACCATGCAAGAATAGGCAACGGAATATAAAAATTTTAACATCCTAACATGATTATCTTGCTCAGAATCACGTACTAAAACTTATAGTGAATAAGAAATTTATACCTTTCTCCGTAAGCGGTAAAAATGAAGAAGTCGGAGGAAGAGCGTTGAAAGTGCAAACGTAACCGTTCAAGCGTCCGGTCTCCAACTTTGACACACGAACAACGCCGGAGTCTACCACAATCTTTATGCTAGTAAAGATTATAGTAGTATAAAATATAAAGATTAAAATTGGGATAATAATAATCTTGTATATTTCTATAGAAAATATTTCCAATAATATTTAAAAAAATTATAGATATTTTCTATACACAAAATGATATATGTGGAACCAAAATAATATTTTCTCTTTCTAAAATAATAGTGGCCGAATGACACACTACACCTTAAATAAGTGGAATGGTGTGTAGTATATTTAAGGAGAAAAAGTGATTATTAATTTGAATTTGTCATTAACAAAATGACAAAATAGTTAGCTTCACTCAATTATCAATCAAGGAAATTTTTGTTCCTTTAAAAGATATCATGGCCGAAAAATCATGTGAGAAGGATTTGTAAAATTCTTCTCCACTTAAATGTTCAAAGTGTATTTTATTTGACACCAAAAATTAATATGAAAATTAATTTTAAATCAAATAAAATATCAATATCATTTTAAACAAGTATACAAATATACTTTAAATAGTTTATGTCAAATTAATTATTTTCATAATTAAAATGACAAATCAAAATAAAATATTCAACATATAATATATATATATATATATATATATACTTCGGTATTTATATATAAAATATATATATATGACCGAATATTTATATATATTATTATATTCCAAAATATTTTATTTTACTATTTTACAAATATACAAATTACTTATTATCCCATTGTTTAATCCTACTCCTTAAATTGTCCAAAGTGTGTGACCCGTATAGGCACTTATAAAGCTGGCCACAGTATTGGCTCTGCACCAATACTATAAGCAATAAGCGGTATCTAGCAACACATTATTGCCCCCAGATTATAAGTTAAGACGTTTGCACCGTCAAAACCTTTCCACGACTCAAACTCCGGGTAACTGTATCCCTTTGTCTCAATGTCTAGACTTAATGCAAGGGATTAAAAAAAATCCAGCTTGTATCCATTAAGTCATTCACTGATTTATCAAGCTTGACTAATAGGAACAGACGTCATAAAAACATCTCAGCATGGCCATGCAATTTCCTCAATCATAACTTATCAGTGGGCCCCATAAGACATTAATCTCTTTTAAAAGAGTAGTGACAAATCCTATGTACGTAATCTACGTTTCTGAATACGCGCT